AAACTTTCACTACAATGTGTTTTTGTTGGCATTTTTGCTGCTTTTTGTCTGAATATATGACTGCATTTGAAATCAATTAAATTATTGTTTCCTAATCTAAAGAATGAGTCAATAAAACAGATCTTTGTAATCAATTTAGTTGTTTCTTTGCAATACAGATAAGTGAGACATTCATCTCAATCACTATAAATCAAATACTATCTAATTATATGAGAAAACAATTCCAACGAAACAATACATTATAAGTCATGTTTAACTGATTGTCATTTTGTTTTATAATGCAAATTATAATTCACATACAATTCAATTATTAAATGACTTTTTATGGTCACAATAATATTCAAATAATTTTATTAAAAGGAAATTAAAACATATTTTTTTAAAAAATAATAAATTGTTTTTTATACACAAATTAAAATATACTCAAATTAAACAAATGAATAAACATTACACACAATGTTTGCTATAGTAATAAAAGTTAAAATGTTTGGTTTGTCAGTATATAATATAAAATATATTTTCATGTTTTAGTAATGAAAACACGAATTGAATTATAATGAATAAGTGGTTGTCATAAGAGTTGACAAATGATTTTCAAATTTATGGCAATTTTATGTTTATCTCAATACGTATACAGAATATAGAGATACAGAATATTATTATTAATAATATTCTGGATTTACGTCTAGAATGGAAAATAAGCGAAAATACGATAAAAATGAGGGATTTTTGGTATAAAATATAAACATTAAGGATATTTAGAGGACGGGAATAAAAAAGAGAAAACAAACACCTGTCTCAGTCTCTGTCTATCCTTGTCAAGCAAATTGTTACTGTATATGTTTTTTCTCTCTTTACTGTATTTTATAAATAACAGCAAATAAGAGATAACACACTATCAGTGATAGTACGGAATGTGAATGAATCGATGGCTTTAAGACAAACAACATTTTGGTTTGTATATCAAAGTAATTAAATGTAAACATATTATAATTAAAAGCATTACAATAGAAAATATATGAGAATATAAATACTTACAATCAAAATATGAAATTTATAATTGAATTGAATATAAAAACTAAAGTGAATGCAAGCGATCACTAGTCTATGTATTGGCGTATATATAACTGAAATGACACTTTTCCTCTAAACTTCTCCCATTTTGCCATCAAATCAATGGTTGCAAACATTGTATTACGTAATGATATAACGCTGTGAACATTGAAACCCACATTTCACTCCAACTAATACGCCAACGCTTTAACACTTGTGTGCACTATATATACAGCTCTACACAACTCTATAGACGAGACGCGACTATATTGTACTTCCAATAGACTTACGCTTCATATCTAAAACATAAACTCAATTCCTCATTACATACACCACACAATCCTCACAATACATAAAAAACGATTCTTATATTCCTTTACATATTTATCTGAGAACTAAAATATGGTTATTATTCTTGAGACAGAATATTCTTTATAAGAATTTAATAATCGCTTTTTCAAACAAATTGTGGCAAAATGTACTAATGTACTAATTGCATTGCATTGCGCAAAATAAACTGTTAGGCAATGAAACACATTAAGCATTAGAGCAAACATTTCAAATGGTAATTAAATTATTGAATAAATGAATTAAGAATTTGTTTAAATCTTAAATTAAATCGACATTAATGTTAACATCCATTAAGAATAGCAGTTAAGGCATTAAATGGAGGGAAAGAATTGCACGACTGAAAGGATTGACTTATGCTGTGTGTCGTCAACTATTTTATTTTATTTTTTCAATAAATAAATAATTACTTTTGGGAAATTAGCTTAAAACACACGAGAGAGAACATTGTGGAAAAAACATTTTCAAATGTGAATTATATTTATTAATTTTTATAGATTTTCAGATTAAACAAAATTTGTTATATAAAACATGTTGTTTATAAGATAACGTAAAATATAAAATTTATATAATGTTTAATTTTTGTTATCAAATAATGCATAACATATTAAATAAATGAGATATTTGTTTTAGAAAAATGCAAAATCAATATTCGTGTTCGCAATGCATGTTTGAAAACCCACTCAATTATTGAATTTATGTATTTTATAATCATTTTTGTTTTACATAAAGTTATTACAGAGATTTCTATTAATATAACATCATATCCGTAATGCACTGATTCTCACTCTCCGCTCGCAAATCATTTCCACTTTAATTAAAATCTATTACTTTTCCATACGTTTTATTAAATTCTCATTACAAACACATTATTGACAATTTGTTTGCACAAAAAATATCTAATATTATGTTTAGCTGTATTCATACCGGAATTTCACTATCGCATGTTTAACATTAACTTTCGTTTTTTGTTGCTTTTTAATCACACATGTGTAAAGTATGTACTTAACAGTACACTACACTGTGTTTATACTTTTTGTTATTTAAATGAACTTTTATTAACACTACTAACCGATATTTAAAATTATTTTATTAAAATAAGATTAAATTTCGATCTTTAAAACACATTACATTACAAAAATTGTCAGATATAATAAATTTCTGCAATTATACAAATTATATGAATTTCACTTCAAAAAATTCTTTTATTAATAAATTAAAACAATTGAGATTTTATTTATATTTATAAAACAAATTTAAATAATAAATATATTGAAGGCATTTATAAATAGTTAGAATTTTGCCTTAAATTAAAACTACAAATATTTCACTTTTAAAATGAATAACAAATTCAAAATAATTGCCTAAAAAATGAATGAAAATTTTGGTTAGTTTTAACGCTAAAAATCTATTTCTTAGGTACGGCTGAAGGCTTGGCGGCGACACCACCGGCAGGTTTGGGAGCGTTGGGAGCGGCGGCGGCCCCGCCTTCCGGACCTTTCGAGGAACTCTTATTGAGAGCAAAGAAAGCAAAGGCTCCGCCGGCGACGACCAACACAACCACTACTACTCCGACCACAATCCATATCAACGGTGAACTGCTTTTCTCACCACTACTGCCGGACTGGGCTGAGGGTTGTGTGTCCTGTGGCTGCGGCGCCTTGTCGTCCATCGGCGCGGCCGGAGGTGTGGCGGCCGAAGAGTCACCGGACGAACACTCAGTAGAATTGCCGAGTTTCCAGAAATCCTTGACAATATCCGATTTTTTGGAGTCCTGAACGGCACTGACCTTTCCGTCCGGAGTCACTGTAATCTGTAAACGTTTGAACGTCTTGTTGCTAAAGAGGAAGAGTTCGGTATCGGTTTTGGTGTACATCCCGTAAATAGGGTCCTGGCTTTGGAAGTCGGACACCGGATTGTTTGACAAACTCGTCCCGTACTCGCCATTAGTGCAGAGAAAAGTGCAGTCGATTTGCGTGTATTTTCCGTTTTGGACCAGAAATATAAACAAATTTTTGACCGAAAACATGGCCTGAATCGGTTCCGGCGATCCATATTCGATGAGCCCCCTCGACAGACACCCGGTGTCGGCGTTGTATTCAATGGCTGGCCTCCACTTTGAGCGAAGTAAGTCAAAAGCGACGAACATATGCACGCCGTTGACCACTTCGGCCACCCAAATGGCCCGTTCGCTCGCTTGGACGCCCTGATCGCCGGTCTTCGCGGACGCACAGCCGGCCATGGAGTCGATGAAGACGGCCGCCTCTCCCTTCTTGAAGGGCTTCGGCAGTTGTTTGGCGTCCGAGTCTTTGGGCGGGAAGTCAGTGGCTTTGATATACCAATAGTGACCGCCACTCGTGAAGAAGTACATATCGGCGTCCTTTACATAAGTGATGGAATCCAGTGTCGAGTCTTTGCACAGAAGGCCGCCGAAGACGCCAACGCCTGATCCCATTAAGAGCGCGAAACTCATCCAAACCAGTGATGAAGACATTGTCGGAGACATGGCTTTCATGAATCAATTGACTCAACGTTTCGTTCGTTTCGATCAATAAATGCAAATGAATTGTATTTTTGAATTCAATTTGCGTTACAAATCGCGAGACAATTATTCATTCATTTTGTCATCAATTTGTATAAAAAAAAGTTTTTCATAGTTTGAGATAACTTTTATACAAACTTTACAGTATTTTTGATCACTTCATGAAATACTTATTCAGTTTGAATAAATAGTAATCAATTAAGTGTACATTTAAATTAGTATTAAACACAAATTGGTTCATAAAAAGTGATTAAAATGTTTTATAATTACAATAAAATACTTAATTGAAAGAATTTATGAAGAGATTATGGTTTATGCAAAGAATGTTGAAATAGACTTAAGTCTCATTTCATTGCATACACAGTATTATTAATTCTTAACTTAACATCACTTTAATTACTGTAAATGAAGTGCAATATTGAAACATAAAATGTAATTAATAGTAAAAATACTTTTATTATAATTTATAAAATAAATTCTATAAATACATATTTTAAAAATACAAGTTATAGCTAAGAATAATCTGTTATATTCTCTATGCAAAAAACCCAAACGAAAGAATCGTACGTAAGAATAATTATTTATAAAATTAATGATTAAAAATTGAATCATCCAATTAAAGACAGTTGAATAAAAAACAGTTTTGAAAATAATTTGTCTCATAAACTAAATGATAGAATTCTCAAATAAGACCATTAACCATAATCAATTACATTATTCACCATGTTCAACTTTAAGAATATACTGTATAATAGCAGTCATTTTAAAATAAAAACACATGATTTGATTCAAAATACATAATTTATTATTAATTTATAAATGACTACAAATGTATATAAATTGCAATCAAATGTAAATTAGTTTCAAATTAATTATAAATCATATAAAGAGTAAGAATATAAGAATTGAGACAATAATCACTTGAATGGTATGACTGGACGTAATTGATGTGTCATTTGGTCACAAATTCACAGTTTGTTTGTATTTCTTGTGATTTGTTGTGAAAATCCAAACAAACAATAAATTGATTGAATATTTGCCACATTTGGTGCTGAAGATGTCCGACAAGATTATCGGACCAACACTTCCACCCAATTGGACACAAACCACCGAAGAGGACGACGAAGACGACAGCGACTTCTTCGGACCAACACTTCCACCCGATTATGGCTCACATCCACACAAAGACACTGTTATCGGACCCACACTTCCTCCGAGTCTTACCGCTAATAACAAGACTATCGGTCCAACACTTCCTCCGAGTCTTACCGCTAATAACAAGACTATCGGTCCAACACTTCCTCCAAAGTGTACGACTAGTGACACGATTATTGGGCCAACACTTCCTCCACATCTGAGCCGAAGCCATGATATAGTGGATGAAAGTGACAGCGATTCCGATGCTTCGGATGACATGATTGGACCCATTCTTCCAACTCATCAAAAATACGGCAAAATAAATGAAAAGTTTGGCAATTCTTCTCAAATCTTGGCTCAAATGGAGGCTAAAAATGAAGTGAAAAAACAACGCGAAGAGTGGATGACTTCTGTGGGCGAACCCTCGGCACCAAAGATGCCCACAAAATCTGTGACACATTTCAGCCAAAGACCCGTCAAAAGTGGTCATCAAAAGGACGACAGATATTATAAAAAGGATGAAAAGAAAGAGAAAGAATTGAATGAAATCATGGATTCCTTTAATAAAGTATTGAATGTTTTGTTAAGTTTTATAGTTTGCGAAATGAGACTAAAGTATGAATTGATTCACAATTTAGGCGCAGAAAAGAGATGTCTCTCTCATTGATATTCATCACCAAAAGAGCAAAAAAGCGGTAAATATTTGTATTTTTGGGTTTATTGTCATTAAATGTAATTATGAATTAAAAATTGTAGAAAAATAGTGAATCAAACGCTGAGGAAAGGGTTGAATTTGATCGCGAAAAGGATCTCTCGGTTCGCAAAATGGATTCGAGACAAACAAAATCGGTGTTAAATAAAGCCAAAGGATTTAATGATCGCTTTTCTCTCGGAGTGAATAAATTCTTATAATTTATAATTGGTTTTTGTATATAAATAATGAAATAATAAATATGTATAAAATAATTGCTTTTATATGAAATTACTGTTAATATACTGAAGTTATAATACATACATTTATTCGTATTATAAGGTAATTCATTAGTTTTGGTTTATATTACAAAATGTATTTTGCATTTGGAATGTAATTTAAATATAAAAATGTATTCAATTTATGCGGTAAATGCTCTTCTCATCCATTATTTCAAAAATCACAGAAAAAAGTTTTATAAACAAATAATTATATAAATATAGTGTATATATACTAATAATATATACAGTATATAGAGATCCAAATCAATGATAAGAAATATATATAATAATAATAATATCGATAATTATGCATATGTTTAGCAAATTGTAATTCTGTATGAATGGGTGAGACTTGAGTATAAAATAAATTAAGTGATTAAGTGGTGCAGTGTTTGGCTAACATGAGAAGGTAATTGTCGTCCCCTATGGGCGCCTGTTCTGAACCATAGATAGTTCGCACGCAAACACTTCTCATGTATTGTTTGTGGTTTTGTTCGAGTCTTATAACACATTGTCGTAATTCTTTGAGTGTTTCCCAAAGTGTATGTCTGTCCTCAATAACGAAGTGAGGCATTCGGTTATTGTATGGGTTGGTTGTATGGGTTGGCATAGCGTTGATTCGAGCAGAGTTTGCATTATGGTGATGGGTGTGATGGTTGGCATTGTGGTGATGATGGTGTTGTTGCAAATGCTGTTTCTCACATAATTCTATCAAAGTCTCCAGATTTTCCATATTCTGGAGGAATATGGTATGAATTCGTTCGATCTCTCGGTCGGGATCGATGTGAACGCCCAGATCGGGTGGCAATGAAGTCACTGTCACCGGACAACAACCCGATGTGTTCTCATTCGGTGCTTTACAGCTATCAACCAAAACCATCATTTAGTTACAAATATTACTTATAATTTAATCAATACTAACCAAAGCCATTGTCCGCCAATGAAAGCCGACGGATGGTATTCCTTAAGACGATTGCGATTTGTTTGACACACTTTTGTCAATATATCAATCCATTCCTTCTCTTCAACACAATTACTCGCCTGAATATAAAGGGCTCTGTCTTTGCGGACCACTTGAAACATCTTTGTAATAATCAAATAGTGTTAAAATACATTTACAAACATATAGTTTGACTAACATTTTTCATTTTGAAACTTTGTTCCTGTAGTTTCTCAACGGCCAGTATTTCATTAATAGGTATCCGACAAAGAGGTCTCTTATTCTTTGTCTTAGAGTAGAAGAAGTGTTGTGTGTTTAGACAAAAATATCGTTTCTTGAAATTTCTGAACGCAATGCCAATCCTTCGCCTTCCCTGAGCTCTTTTGGTCATTACGCTAATTGTGTCATACATTCAATCGTTAATTCAATTTATTATTAATTAAATAAAATATAATTAAATATAATTTACTCATTAAATATTCCCTTCAGTTATAAGGAAAGCAGTGAAAGAAATAGTTAAGTATTAGTAAAGGATTATACTGTAAGGCATAATAAGAATGAAAGGATTAAATATGTTTTTAAATTAATACAATACAATACCTTTCTTTCAAAAGGACTGGCAGTTCGTTAACTCTGGGAACCGATAGAGTGGTCGACGAAGAAATCAATTCCAAGAACTGTTAATTAATATCATGTTTAGTAACAAATCCATTAATAAAACATATGGTAGAGTAGAATACAAACCACTTTTGTTGATTCGATGTGTTGTTCTGTCAGAAATTCTTTGTATAGAGTTATCATATATTCCTCTTTAATCACTTGATTGCTCTTTAAAATACATAAAATAAGTTTTAATCAAATATACACTGTTATATGGTTTTAGAATTCACAATTGGACATCAAATTTTTGGATAAATACATTCAACCAAAATGAGTAAAACTTGCAAATGTGTAAAACTATTTAACCACTTGTGGGTGAATGTGTCATTTTGTGGACGTATTGTCTGTTGGGCCCATTAGGTGTCTAAAACTAATTAGAAAATTTACTCATTAAATATTCCCTTCAGTTATAAGGAAAGCAGTGAAAGAAATAGTTAAGTATTAGTAAAGGATTATACTGTAAGGCATAATAAGAATGAAAGGATTAAATATGTTTTTAAATTAATAAAATACAATACCTTTCTTTCAAAAGGACTGGCAGTTCATTAACTCTGGGAACCGATAGAGTGGTCGACGAAGAAATCAATTCCAAGAACTGTTAATTAATATCATGTTTAGTAACAAATCAATTAACAAAAAATATGGTAGAGTAGAATACAAACCACTTTTGTTGATTCGATGTGTTGTTCTGTCAGAAATTCTTTGTATAGAGTTATCATATATTCTTCTTTAATCACTTGATTGCTCTTTAAAATACACAAAATAAGTTTTAATCAAATATAATATGGACATTTACATACGTTTTAATATCTTATGTATGTGTAAATCTTGACTGTTCTAAAGGTTACGAAACATAACAAAATCTATAGTTTCAATTACACGCTAACCAAACTCTCAGGATACTTTAGTACTTTATAAATTAAATTAAATTTGCATTGCAATTAATATGATGGTTATAATAAAGCTTACGATTTGTTGATCTGTTATCTCAAACAGTTTTGGGTTAAGTATTGCCGGCGCGAAGAATCGTAAAAATACGAAACCGGAGATAACATAATAACAAACTTCTCGACTCTCGGGAAAGTATTTTATGGCCAACTCTTTGAGAACAGAGAATATCTCACACATTAGTTGTGGACATCTGAGCGCTGATGAGGTGATGGATCTGAAAGTACTGGTTATATAGATCTTCAGATTCGCCATATTAGTAGCCAATGAATCCCCGTCTTTGAAACGACTCGGATCTATTTCACACGTCTTGTGTTCACTCAACACCTATTTAGAAAACCATGTTTTCATTCATTTCAATTTATCAATCAATTTAATCGTCAAAGAATTTAAGTTTCAAATGTCGATAATCTTATGCAAATAAATGTCAAAATACCTGTTCTATTGTTGTGCGAAGTGTTTCGTGAAGATAACGAATGCCTACTATTTTCATCAACTCATCCATACATTTGGATACCAATGAATTTCCGCGAAATATTGTATTTACATCACTGTTGATGCAAATTAATTTGAAATATATATTATTTTGATTGAAATTATTTAAAAATTACAAATAAACGAATCAATGTTTAAAATATTTATATACCGTAGAATATTTATAAATAAGTCAAAAAATGTCAAACAAAACATAAAAGGGTTAAATGTTTAAGCGATTAACAATGTTTGTCACAAATACTAGTCATTGTATCTAAATCGGTATAATTAACCCAAAAGTAGATCTCTTCTCAAAATAATTGTCCAAAAAGTTTTATAACTCTTTAAATTGTTAGCAAATGTATGTTATATTTAGAAATAATTACTAAAATTGAATTAATTATAATAATAACTGAATAATTGTAATAAAAATACAAAAATGCATATTTATATATAATGTTTCTCATTTCTCATGTTTGAAAAATATATTCCCGGAAAATAAGTTTGCTCCGGAAAATTCTTTATATTCCCTGAAATTGAGATAATAAGACAAAAATGTGATCAAAAGATAACTAATCGCTGAATATAAATACTTTTATCCTATTTATTAGATGATCATATGATCATTTTAATAATTTTTAACCACAATTCAGTATGAATAATGTGGTTTATAGGATCGTTCGGCTACCCCTCCCCCCTCCGGCCCCCCCGCTCTATGGGATTTAACATGTGATTGCATGTTAATCCTA